TAAATAAGTCAAAAAAATTTTCAAAGTACAATCATGACTACTCATTTATGCACAAATCATTTTATAAAGAATGTCAAGATTGAAATTATAAGAATATGCTCAGAGTATATAGTTCTATGATTAACAATACATTTAGGACTTAAATACTACCGCTGAAGGCAATCAATTTAGTTGAAACATTTGAGAATATGCATATCAGCATGCACATATACATGTACAAAGATATATACTGGGCATTTCTGAAAGGAGTCACATGAAACTGGATTAGTAATAACCTCCAAGAGAACTGGGGATCAGGAAGCCTGCAGGAGGAGGAAGACTCATTAATTCCAACTGAATGTCTCACCATGTACTTGTGTTCCATTTTTGATTAACAGTCCCACTAATTTTTTTAAAGTTTTTATTAAATCTCAGCGTTTTTTTTTTCTTTCTAGATTTATTTTATTTTAAATTATGTGTATGTATTGTGTCTGTGTATGAGTATATACAGGTGCCTGTGGAGATCAGAGGCATCAGATGCCCCTGCAACTGGAGTTATAGGCAGTTGTAAGCACATGACCTGACCACTGGGAATTAGAGCTGTACATGCTCTGAACCACTGAGCCATCTCTCTAGTCCCAGTTCCACTAAATGCTTTTTGGGGTTTTTTTTTTTTTGTTTTGTTTTGTTTGTTTGTTTGTTTTTGAGATAGGATCTCCCTGTAGCCCCAGATGGTCTGAAACTTGCTATGTAGACCAGGTTGGCCTAGATCTTACAGAGGTCTACCTGCCTCTGCTTCCTAAGCACTGAGATCAAAGGCATGCACCACCATACCCGGCTCCAGTAATTTTTAAAGTCTAATTTATCAGTAGTTTCAGAGTATGATTTAACATGTACAATTATAATGAAACACAGTCCCTTCTCAATGAAATTATCAGTAAGAAGCAAAAGATACAAATACTATTCATTGGAGGTTAAGTTATGATTGGTGCCTGGAAGTGTGAAAAGTTATGCCAAGTATAACACAAGTAAGAATGAAGATCCTACATGGTTTTTGCCTTATAGAAGAAAGTCAGTATGGATCGTTTATCCTTTGGGCTCCTTCACTACATGTCCTCCCAGTAGTTCCATAAAATATACATTATACTGCATTTAAGGCAGCATTAGGTAACAGTTGAAGAACTGGCTTTGGAATCAGAAGGAACCAAATTCAAATTCTAGCTTTGCTACTGTAGATAACTTACCAGCCTTGACTTACTCGTCTGTAACACAGGAATGAGAATATCTATATCACGACACTGTCGTAAGGACGAAACAATGTAGGCACGGTCTATCACAGTGCCTGGTTTGCGACAAATGCATATGATATGTCTGCTAGCATTGTTTTAATCAATGCATATTTGTTGATGCTTTAATCACTAAATATATTTTTTTCTGACACAATATTACAAATGTATGAGAGAGACATTTCAGATGCCCATTAATCAAATACTTAACTGAAGAGGTAGATGCTTCCCCCTGAATGAAAAATACTTTTGTTGGTGTGATTGAGATAATGAACAGTTGAAAACTGTTGCATAGAAAGTAAATGTTCATTGATTGCTCTAAGAATCTATCAAAACACATCCTTCCTTTGTGAGTTTAATGCAGACACAATGCAGCCTTCTGGTTAATGGTGCATGAAGTCACTGAATCCCAGTAAAAGTGCAGAAAGAACAAGGACACAGTCCCCCATGGCTGAACTGCTGGCACATACCTTGGTCTGCAGCAAAGCCTTTCCAGGTGTCTGGCCTCTGGGAAATCAGGGACAGTCAGTGCCAATCACAATACTCCTACTGGCACCAAAATTCCCCTGCAGGAGACTTGGAAGCTTGAATCTATGTACCTACCTCACACGGGTAGTCTATGGATTAAAAGGCAATGATTGTGAAATTCTGGGAACAAAAAGCCCTCTGCAAATGCTAAACAGTCTATTAGTGGTTTGTTCAAGACAACGCTCAAGAATGGATTTTCCAGAGAAGTAGGGCAGGTCCCAACTTTGAAACAGAAAGTTATGGAGCACAGCAGTTATGTTTAATTGGCTTTGATTCTTAAAAGCTGACAACATGCAGGCACTCAAAAGACAAGTAATATCATTCCAGAAATGGCCACACCCATATGCAAAATACAACTTAAAAAATTCATTAATCTAATAGGCAGGTTATTACTTTTACTATTTTAAATCCTTACGAACCTTCATAATAAATTGACTACAAAAATATTCTCAACTGTTCATGTTAAGTAACCTACCGATGTCATCTATAGGCATATAAATGTTTCTGCAGAATACTCATAAATGTTTTCTCCCCATAATGAACACGCATGGTGAAATTTATGCTGCCAATGTATTCAGGGTCTCCCATACTGGTGTCTCCATATCATTTTTATGATATATCTGTGGTAATTGCTGCTCAGAAAACAAAGTCTGGATCAGTACAGATAATAAGAAAATGTACTGTTCATGGGAGAGAAACTGTATTTCTCTATTTTGGTTATTCTAAATATTTGCAAAGATTAAACAGAATTGAAAGTTTAAAGCAACATTTTCAACTCACAGAGGAGTGAATGAGAAGGGCAAAAATACATGTATGTTACTTCTTTTTACATTGAATGGGATGAAGTCAAGAGGGAAGGAGTTACCATTTAGTAGAGATGCAAAAGTTAAACCATCAAAATGATTTCTCCAAGGGCTGCTTTGAGGAACCCACGGTGAGAAAGTCTGAGCTCAAATCCTGCCTTCACCATTTACTAGATGTTTCATTTTATCAGGAAGGCCTCTTCTATTTTTTAACATGTATGTTCCTCTAGCATTCAGTACTTCTTTGTGATTTTCACAGCTACAATTTTATATATATGGTGATTAATTTGTTTTATGTCTCTCCCCTACTAGACTGCAAAGATGTATATTATATATGTCAGTGCTTGGCACATTATAAGATTTTGACATTGCTAAGGATTTCTATACATCAGCTAATTTATCCCAATGTAATATCAAGACACTGCCAAAAAGAAAGTGAAGCTAAGTGCTACACTGAAAACTTGAACCTAGGTTTTCCACCTTACCCTACTGTGCCTCCTCCATGTGCCAACAAGCTGGTAGATTCATACTGATGTGTTTAGTATTGAGCCTAGAGGTACTGTGGCGCTGGGTGGGCAATAACGATGTGACTAATAAAACCATAAATTTACTTTTCCATGTGTTTATAAATAATTTGATAATAGCAACCCAAATGGATGTTTTCCGGTCTACATAACAGTGCCTTTTTTATTTATTACTGGAACAAAAATAACAGCATTAGTTTAGAAAGTCCTTTTTACTAGACATCATTAATAAGAACTGGAATTTGGGAAAGGAGAGATAACTTCCAACTGACTGAACAATGAAAGTGTGCTCTTCTCTTGCTTCTTCAAACACTAAGAATCCTCCAATGCTCTCCACTGGAGTCAGAGTGTTGATGTGACAAGATACTCCCTAGGAGTGCTCAGACTCACCAGCCACACTTTCACTGGTATAGGCTTTGACTTCCTCATCTACAAAATAAGCAGACTAGATTAGTTCTTTAAGATTACCTCTAAAATTAGTGTTCCATCATTTATATTAAATGAGGAGGAAATAGCAGTAATAGCCGAGTCAATCCTTAACGGCCTCTAGTATTTGGCTGAAGGCCTCAAGAGTAGGTCTCCCTGGGCACCATTCAAACAACTAGATGGCTGAAGCCTAAGTTACGCACTCATTTTTTCCTGGCCTATCTAAGCTACATTAGTAAGACTGAAACCTCCCCTAAGATTTAACCCCACAAATTTTAATAAATATATGAGTTGGTAACTCTCTGGGGAA